TGGCGCATCTGGTAGCTGTTGCAGCGGCTGCTCGAAGTGTTCGCGACGTGCTGGCAGGTCGAGCTTCGCCTCGTCAATCCCCATGCCATTCTTCTGCGGACCTGGCTGTTCAGCGCCCGGCTCCAGCACGACGGTGAGGTCCACCAGCTCGCGGTCCTGGCGGGCACGGCCAGTTCGATGTCGCGGTTGACCCCCTGGTCTTGCATTCTGGTGAGCATCTGCGGCGAGATGGCGATGTAGTCCAGCTTGTGCCCCCTGCGCTTGCCATCCTTGGCCATGCAGCTCCACGCGGTGCACCTGTTACCTTTGGAGGGTAGGCTCGTAGGCGTGCACCTGCGCGGTTCTCGTTGACCACGCCGCAGTGCCCGATGGCCTCCGAACCGATGTTGCCGACCTTCGCGTTGGCACCCATGAGGCACACCAGTCCCGTGGAGGGCGATGGTGGCCTCGTCTTCAGCAATTTCTCCGGAGCCTGTCACCATTCTTTACAAACGTCAGGAGGTGCTCCGCTGTGCGAGGCGTGGCCCACGAAGATGTCGACGTTGAGCCTTGCGGACCTGATGCTGGCCAGCCTGCGGGGATCCGCGTGCAGGATGGCCACGTTGCTGTCGCTGAGCTGCGTATCCTACCCAAACACTGCCTTGATGCTGACCCAGAGGGAGATCCCGAGCTGCCCCCCTGCCGTGGCGGCGGCATGGTAGATGCGGTAGTCGCCGACCCTGATCAGGGAGTCCCACTTTGCCCTCGTCTCTTGGGCGCCGACGAAGTGACAACCGTAGAGGCCGAAGTGACCTGCCAGCATGTGCACCCTGCCTGGCATCATTACCACTGCGAAGGCTTTGGCTTTGCCATCTCGCTCCTCGGTGGCGTCAAGGGCGAGGACATTGGCCACGGCGAGTTTGAGCGCTGTGCTGGCTGGCGGCTGCCCCCATTCCTCCCCCTGCAGAAGCCCTGGACAGTCAACTTTGAAAGAAACTGCCTGAGCCCGTGGACCGACGGATCCAATTTGGGGGCCCCATCTCCAGGGGGGGGAATTGCGAGCGGACATGGGGTGGGGGCAGCCGCTAGCCAAAGCCACGGGACCTCCTGGAGGTGGGCGAACAATTGGTCACAGACCTGGTCGCTGCACTGGGCTTCTATGATGCCGCCCCTGGCGAGCGTCGCGATGGCGCCCGCGAGCTCGGTCCTCCCGTCGGCCATGTTGCCTGGCACGTGCTGCCAGTCGTAGACGGTGATGTGCCTCGGGGCCTTCGCGAGGCCGTCGAGGGCGATGGAGCGCGGCCTGTAGGTGGCCAGCGATGCGCTGACAATCGGTGTGCACGACGGTCTGCGCGAAGCCCTCCTCGTCCTTCACGCCGAGGGCAAGGCGCAGCTGCAGCAGCCAAAGCACTGCCGCCATCACCTGCGCAGAGCTCGGCCGCAACTCAGGGCTGGTGGAAGAGATCTGCAAGCCCCGGCATGGCATGCCCGAGATACCCTGGCACAGAGCACTTATTCTGCGCGCCCGTGGCGACGACGACACAGGCGCAGGAAGGTGCCCAGGGATGCCTCCTTTTTGCGGCGCCTCTTGAGCCATCCGCGTAGACGTCGAGGCGTTCGTGCGTGTCTGCGGAGGCTGGTCGGCGTGGCAGTCTGCGATCAGCAACTGCATGGCCGAGTGAAAGTACTGCATTGAGCTAGCTCCGCCTTCGAGCTTGGTGAGCTGGAAAGGCCACGCCGCTCGCAGCGCCTGCAGCGCCTGGCGGCCGTCTGGCACCGGCGCTGTGCGAGCAGGCCGCCCTTAGCGAGGAAGAGCTGGTAAAGGTACTGCTGGCGGCGCAGGGGCCCCGCCCGCGTCGTCGCAGGCCGCGATTGCTGCGGCGGGGCCCCGCAACCGTCAGAGCTGCGCATCCTCCTCGGCCTCTGCGGCCGCGCCTGAGGCTGCCGCCTCTCCTGCCGATGATGCTGCAGCTCCTGCGTCCCCCTTGTCCACCGGGCTGCGGCCGCGGATCCTGCTGCGCCCGCCGCCATCTGCCGCGCGCCTGCCAGACTGGAAACATACTCGGCATCTGCGCCCTGGCCGCCGCTGCCATGGCATTGGCCTCCTATGCGGCCTTCTTCTTAGTCTCCTGCTTGGCTGTCTTGGCTGCGTCATCGCCTCCTGTGCCCTGGGGCCCTTCGGCCGCGGCGGCAGCTGGCGGTTGCGCTGTCGCCGGCGCGCCATTGGTCTGCTCCAGGACAGCCATGAGCTGCGCCATTCGCTGCGACATCTCGCCGATCTGCGTCTCCATCGCCACCATGCGGCTCTGATTCCTCGCCTGCGCCGCGGCGCTGCTGAAGGCGCCAGACACGACTGTGTCGCCTGGCTGGCAGTCGCCATGTGCCCGTTCTCGTTGTAGGGGTCGTTAGCGATGCTGCTGATCTCGTCGCCCTCCTCGTCGCTGTCTGCGATGCCTCCCGCCCGCGGGGCCTGCCTCGGGCCCCGGCTGCGGCGCCGCAGCAGCTGGGGGCATGGCGCGCGCGCAGAAATCCTTCATCTGCTGCATCTGGCCGAGGAAGAGCCGGGCGCGCCGCAGGTCCTCCCGGGCCTTTTTGTCGTCGAGCTCCGCCGCCTTCAGCTTCATATGCGCTGCCAGTTCTGCGTCCCGAGCGGCAGTGAGCAACTTCTTGGCCTTGCTCACGCAGGACTCCTGTCGCCCCTGCCTCTGCCCCGGGCCCTTGGCCATGATGGCCTGGCAGAGGATAGCGGCGCATTCTCGCTCGGCCTGGTCCAACCTTTTCCCATCTGGCTCTGGCAGTCCTCTGATCGCTCTGACTCTGCCCTCTGCCGCGAGCAGCGCCTTGCGCAGAGACTCTCGAAACTGTTTGAGCCCAGCGGCGAGGGGGGGCGGCTGCACCCACGCCTTGTGCTTCTTGGCCTCCATGGGAAGCAGCGGCAGGACGCCCATGGGGCCCTTGTCCGCTGCCTGCTGCGCCGTCCATGGCGGATCCTTCTGGCTCCACTGAGCCTGGCTGCGTTCACTTCCTCCCCGCCAGCGGCTGTGCTGCCTCGGGGTGCTGCCGTCTGCCTTCCACGGCGGCAGCGGCCTCTTCTTCTCCCCGCAACTTCTGCACGTGGTGCGGCTGGAGAAGTGCTGGGCGACGCAGCCCTTGCAGGTCCACGATGTCGATCTGTCGCCCTGCCGCGGGGCCGACGATGACCTTGCTTTCTTGTCGCCGTTGGCCATGGCGGCGGGCTGCTGGCTGCTGTGGTGAGTGGCCAGCAGGCCCGCGGCGGCGCCTAGCCGCAGCAGCGTGCGAGCCCAGGCTCGCTGCCGCCGCTGGCGCCAGTGCCAGGCGGGATCGGGGGCGCGGATGGCCGCGCCGCCCGTGGCCGCGCGCGCTGTAGCGGTCGTCGCTGCAATTGTTGCACCACCCAAATCGACACGCCTCGAACTGTCGCGGCAGCTTCTGGGGGAAGGAGGAGGGAGGCCGGAGTGAGGGGACGCAGAGCAGAGGGAGGAGGGAGGGGGCGGTCCACGTGCACGCTCGGTGGCACCCAGTGGCCCCTCGAGGCGCCCTTCGTTCGGGAGCGCCTCGGGGAGCCGCGCAGAGCGCTCCGAGTCGAGCGCAGGACGACGACGCTCCAGTCCCCGTTAGAGTGCGCGTCCGAAGCTTCTCGAGCTCCCCGGGGGAAGGGGGGGACGGGGCAGTTCTGGGCGGTTCAGCGCACCCTCCTCCCATCTCCCAAGGCGGAGTCAGCTGGGGGCGGGCGTCTCAGCCCCACAGCCGCCCTCCCGCCTCCTTCTCCTGCCTGGCATCACCTTACCTCTGTGTCGATCTTCAGGACTACCCAGCTTCTGGGACACATCCCCAAGATTGTCATCGCCTGGGCCTTGCCGTTCTTGAGGATCTGGAGGAGGCGAAGTCCATACGGAGTAAGTCCATGCGGAATGCTCGGTCTCCGTACGGACTCTCTCCGTATGGACTTCGCCGGAGCCGAAGTTCATAAGGAGTATGTCCATAAGGATATGTCTTCGTCTGGGCTTACTCCGTCTGGATTCGGCCTCTCCCGACGCCCCCGACCCCACCCTCCTCCTCCTGTGCCCTCCCCTCCCCCTCGCCGGCCCTCCACGCCCGCCCTGCACGCCTCCTCCTCCTCCGCCTCCCGCCGCTCTCCTCGCCCCTCCGCCGCCGCCGCCTCCTGCCGCCTGCTCCTCCTCATCGTTGGATCGAGGAGGAGGAGGAGGAGGAGGAGGAGGAGGAAGAGGAGGACGAGGATCAACCACGCGGGGAGGGGGACAGGGGGACGGGGGGGCTTTTTAGAGGCCCCCCTGCTTCTTAGAAGGCGCGGGCCTCATCTATAGATGTTGGGCCAGCGCCTTCCACGAATCAGCCTCCTTTTTTCCCTACCTAGGCCCTGCCTAGACTAGGGTTCTTACTCTCTAGCTTAAAGGGGCCGGGCAGCGCTACCCGCCCCGGGCGGTTCCCCCAGTTGCCTGGGAGCGGTTCCCCCAGTTGCGCCCCTAGTTTTAATGTTAGCTTTAGCATTAGCTTTAGATGTAGCTTTAGACATGGCTTTAGCTTTAACTTTAGCTTTAGCTTAGTTGTAGCTTAGCTTTAGCTCAGCTTTAACTTAGAGTTATATTAGCTTTAGTCTAGCTTTAGCTTAGCTTTGGCTTAGCTTTGGCTAGGCTTTGGCTTAGCTGTTGTTTAGCTTTAGCTTAGCTTTAGTTTAGATGTAGCTTAGCGTTAGCTTAGCGTTAGCTTAGCTTTAGCTTAGCTGTAGCTTAACTTTAGCTTAGCGTTAGCTTAACTTTACCGTTACTACTAATGCTGCTTTCCGAGGGGCTCCAACTCCTAGGCAGAGTCGCATTGGGATAATTATAAGCCTCCCCCCTCCTCCAGCCCCTCGTGCGGGCTGCCAAGAGGAGGAAGGAGGGAGGAGGACAATAAGGAGGAGGATCGCGGAGTCGATGGAGGAGGATCATGATCCTCTGTCCTCCTCTCTCCTACCCCCTTGCCGCCCCTTCCCCCTGCAGGCGGCTTCCAGCTGCTGCTGCCGTATCTCGAGGGCCTCCGCGGGGCCGCCAGGGAGCGGGCTCGTCTGCCCGCCCAGCGTCCCAGCGACTACACGGGAGCAGCGGGTGGAGGAGGAGGAGGAGGAGGAGGAGGAGGAGGAGGAGGAGGAGGAGGTAGATCCGACCGCGGCTCTCTGAAAGAGCATAGAGAGCCCGACGGCCTGCACACCCGCCGCGCTTCCGAGAGAGGCGCGCTCGTTGTGCCGCTTGAGGAGGGCCCACCGCTTGGGGGCCGCATGCAAGCAGTGGCGCACACGATCACCACCCACCAAACCACCCCAACCCAACCCGAAGGCTCAGATTTACCCTCGATTTCCAGTGGGAGGGGGGCCGGGACATGTCGAGAAAACACATGTGGAACCCTTACCCCCCCAACCCGAAATTCGGGTCTTCGGGTTGGGTTGGGGTGGTCTGGTAGGTAGTCACACGAGGGGCCGTGGCAGGCCAGGCGGCCCAAGCCAGGCCGAGGCGGGCAGGCTCGAATGCTTGGCAAGGCCGGCGGCGAGCTCTACGATGCGCTCCAGCACGTCGTTCTCCAAGGAGCAGAGAGCTCAGTCCGAGGCGGAGACCATAACCACCGCCGGGGGGGGTCGATCTTCGCGGACCTCCGCAGGCGGTGGATATGGATATACTCGGGACTCCGAGGGCCAAAACCGATCCACATACACCGCCTTTTGCGGCACCAGGACGTCGGTTTCCAGGCGGTGGCTATGGATAAACCCCCGCCTCGCACTCAGGAGGTGGTCGTGGAGGAGGAGATGCAGGAGGAGCAAGGGGGAAGAGATGGAGGCAGAAGGAGGAGACAGAAGGAGGAGGAGGAGGAGGAGGACTGACTGACTGACTATGCCTTGGACTCAACGTGTCGTCTGCTCTTGAAACATACTAACATCGCTCTGAGTCTAGCTTGGGCTAACCTCTTCACTCTCACGTGCGCGGATGCCACGGAGCATACAGGCACTGCACGCGCCCCACTCCCGCATTCGGCGAGCCAAGGGCGATCCAAGGGCGTGCGTGTCTACTTTCCGCGACTGTGCCGCTCTGATTGGCTGAGAAGATGTGTCCCTTGCCCTTTCCTCGTGCTCGAGGGGTCTCGGGACGAGAGATGAGGAGGTTGGAGTCGAGGGAGGACTGAAGGACTGGAACAGGCAAGCTAGGCTCCCGCGCTCCCGCGGGGCTGGCAGGCGGCCAGCGGCTGCTAGCTCCGCGTATCGTCTACTCTCTCTGAAAGCTGTCGGTGCCTCGCTCGGGGCTCTGTGTGTGTTCAGCTGCGGTGTCTGTAGCCTCCCGCGGGTCTGCACCCTCGGGACTGGTTCACCAATCAGCTCCAACTCTACTTCACGGTCGAATGCACCAGGCTCTTCAGCTCGCGCTGGAATGGACCGCGTGGCGCCGAGCCCAGCTTCCTCTGGGCTCCCTTCTTCCTGAGTTTCCCCATCAGCATAGGAGGAGGAGGAGGAGGAGGAGGAGGGGTAGGGGGAGAAGGAGGAATGTCATACACATACGTTCTCATTCATTGCAGCTGGTGCCGACCACCTGCAGCCGCATGCGCACCGATGATAGTCTGCAGCGGCGCCTCACAGCTTTGGTTGCACCCTCCACCCACAACCAATGGCGGGCGCAGCTACTCTCTCTGCCGCCGCTCTTCCGCCACCAGCCTCGGCACTACCCCGACCACTACTACGGGGGGAGAGGGGGAGGAGCCGGGCGGGGCTAGGACACGGAGAAGTCCGTTCCAGATAAGTCTTTTTCAATAGTGTTCCGGAACGCTCTCAGAGCGCTCAGGAATGCTCTGAGGAGGCCACGGCGCCCGATACATCTTCCAGAGCCGCCAGATCTCAAAGATTTTCGATTCGTCCTCGTCCGAATTTGTCCTCGCCCTGGATTCGTCGTTGGGAGTGGAGGGGACGACGCCAGAGTCTCCGCCCAAGCTTCCCCCCCTCACTTCCCTTGCTCCCTCCCGGAAGCCCCTGAAGTCCGACGTCGCGAAAACATCGCAGCACAATGGGAAGTAACGACCAGGGCCCTAGACCCTATCTTTCTGCGGCATCTCTCGGGATGGATCAATCCATCATGGCCTCGGGGCCCGAAGTACACTTGATTCGCTCACTCCGCTGGCCTAATTCGCATCACTGTGGCTACGTTGTGGCGTGCTCGTGCCCAGGGGAACGGTAGGGCAGGCAGGACGGTCTCCGAGGAGATGTTTGAAAATGTGGCTCGCACCCTGTCGAAGGGGGCCGATAGACTGCCCCCGAGGGCGCCAAGATGGCCCAAGAGAGCTCCAGCAGAGTTTCGAGACGTATCTGGATTGTGGGTCAAAGTCCTCATGTATGTTTCTTGGGGTCTCTTCGGAGGGAGCCTTTGAGGAGCAGATTGTTTGAGGCCTCTCAGGAACCTCTCCGGGGCTTCCTGTTTGGGGGCTTCCTGGGGGCATGCTGGGAGTCTTGGGAGCCTCTTTGGGGGCCTCTTGGGGTGCTCTTCGGGGCCTCGGGGGGCCTCCTGGGCGCCTCTTGGGGGCGAGAGCTCGAAATGTCTATTCGAGTTCCCCCTCTGGACCCCCTAGTGGGGCCATCCTGGGGCCGTCTTGGAGGCCTCGTGGGCCGTCTTGGGGCCATCTTGGGCCATTTGTGGGCCCACTCGGAGGGAGACTTTTGGGCCGTGTTGGAGCGATCTCGGGGCCTCTTGGGACGTCCAGGCGGTCGGCAGTTCGACAAGGCGGTACCGCCAAAATCGCCCGATAACCTAAGTAAGATCAATGATTATTGCATCTTCGGGGCCTCTCGAACTCCTCTTGGAACCCTCCTGGAGCGTTTTGGGCGCTCTTGGGCCATCTTGGGACCAACGTGGGCCATCTCGGAACGCACTTGGCTGAGGCCGTGGGGCGTGCCACCCGTTTGGCGTCTCATGCTCATTGGAGCGCTAGGGGGGCCCCCGAGGCCGGGCCCAGGAGTTCTGGCATCTCTGACGCGACCTTGCCTGGACTCGCCGGGACTTTGCCGGGGTCGTCCGGGGACTTGCAGGGTCGGCCACGCGCGCGCGCGAATTAGAAATATTCGCAAAATCTGACCGAAGATTTTAGCACGCCTCTGGCCCGTAGGGCCAGCGAATAGCTGAGCTCGATGACGGCGGTGCTCGGCGGGGGGGGTGGGGCAGGGGGCCCCGCGCCCAGTGGAGGTCCGCCCCACAAGCCCAGAGAGAGGGAGCACTCCTCCGCCGAGCCGCAAAGGAGGGAGCCCCCCTTCACCCGGTGCAGGCCCCCTCGGCCCCACCCAGAGGTCCCCTGGCGGCAAGGAGCCGCCCCCCCTTTGCTCGGCGCTCACGGGCCCGCCGCGCGGCGGGCCGCCGCGGAAGGCCTCGTCCGCGCGGCCTGCGGGGCCCGGGGCCCCCGCTGGGGCCCCACACGCCCGCCGCCGGTGCTTGCCCATGCAACCACGCCGAGGGGGGCCCCGCGCCACCCGAGGTTTCCAGGGGGGACGACGGGCACAGAGACCGAGTCCCCTGCGAGTGGAAGATACAGGGACTGAGCCTTGCGGGTCTGTGCCCTGTGACCCCCCAGACGAAAGAGTAGTTCGTGGACAAGGGCCGCGCGTATCCGCGCCTGAAGGTGAAGCGGCGGCAGTTCCTTTTGGCTGGCCACGCCGAGGGGGACACGCCGGCGGGGCCCGGGGCCCCCGCTGGGACCCCACCCGCCGTCGGTGCCTGCCCACGCAGCCACGCCGAGGAAGCCCACTCCCAGGCGCGATCATTCCGAGTTCTTCGATCACGCTCCGAGCTTTCTGGGATCACGCTCGAAGGCCGCTCGGTCGCGCTGGACGGCAGGCCACCCCCCCTTCAGTCGCTTCCGTCTCTCCCGCCCGCGCGCTGGGCCGACAGGATGTCGCGTGCGTTGGATTCATGTTATCACGGGGGCTGGTTGCGCTCATTTTGCCAACCCTGCTAGTTACACAGGACACCTGAGGGCTGCTTTTTCACCCCGCCGGATTTGAGGCACGCGCGGCGCTGGCCTTCGGACAGGACGAGTTTGCTGCCATCAGTTCTTGTGGAAGGAACCCGTGTAATACCCTCATATATACTCCTTATCCTTACCTCTCCCGCGCCTGGCCGTTTGGGCTCAGGTACTGAGTTGAAGCGATCGTACCTTGATCGCATGGGAGGGAAAGATATCAATCTATCCCTCCATCTCTCTCTACCAACGGACCAGGGGTTCTGTACCCTTGTACTTCAACCCCATACACAGGTTATCAGCCCTTTAACGCTCACCCTCACCGACTCGACCGCGGTGATCTTGCATGCGAGCCTAATGGAGCCGCTTCGGCGCATGCGCCGTAAGGGTTCCATTGGGGCTTCGCGTCCAAGCTCTCCCACGGTGCGACGGCTCGGTGACGAGTTGGAGAGCATTAGTGCGGACTGTGTTGGTGTCCCCGATACCCCCCCCCCCCCCAGCCCCCGAGGACCCGAGGCGCGTCTAGCTGCTGAACTTCGCCGCAGCGCCGCCCGCGGGGGGACAGGAGAAGGAGTAGGAACAGGAAGGAAGGAGTTTCACACGCCGACCTTCGATCCTCCCCCCCCTTCCCCGTCGGGAGCAATCCCAACCGCGTCAGGCGAAAGCCTTACCGGTCTCGATACTCCAGGGCGCTTTCGCGCTAACCGCCGATGGACCTCAGGTGCTGGGACCCCCAGCCCTGCGACCGTCCCTGTAGCGGAGCACGTAGCTACCTTTGAGGAGCTCAGTAGACCAGTGTCGGCACAGCCACAGACGCGGTACCCCAAGGTATCATCGGATGAGACACCACACACACATGGTCCGAGTCGCAGCTCGTCCGCGCGCAACCGCCGTGGAGCCCCAGGCCCATACGGCGAGAGCAGGTCGAGCCCGCGTACTGCCTCTCAGAGGCCATGCACTCCCCGCGACAGGGGACACAGGGAAGCTGACGCTCCCCACCTCTCCATCTCAGACGACCAGCTGGCGGAGACGTCCGCCGCAGGTGACATAGCTGAGCTCAGAGACCAGGTTGAAACCTTCGTGT